AGCTAGTGCGTAAGCTAAGTGCGCTTCAGCGTGGTGATATAGACAAGCAGTGGGATCAGATTAGGCGAGCAATGCATTCCGCAGCGAATGTTGCTTGTGGGACTGAGCCTCAAGACAACGGAGGCATTGAACATCTAATGAGTCTGTAGCACTGATGGATCAAAAATGACAAAACCCGACCTGCCAGGATCGAAATAGAGTTAGATGGCATCTACAACGTCAGCTCACGAAGAGCCTCAAGAAGGATCATGAGAACTGGTGGGCAACAATAGCTAGTGAAATGAAAGTATCGACTGCATCAGGGAATAATCAAAGACTGTTCCGACTGATACGCAATACGGGAGGTCGGCGGACGCCAGTTAGTGAAACAGTCTGCGATAAGAGGGGACAAGCTATTCACAATAGAGATCAATGACTCGATCGCTGGGCAGAATATTTCAGAAAACAGTTCAGCTGGCGTGCCGCTAACCAGGTCGCCTCATCTGCAACTGAAGCTCCTTGAGCAGTGTCGTGCGATCTTCCAACGGATGTAGAAGNGAAGTTCGGTTCTGCACTCAGGCGCCGAAGCGAGGAAAGGCAGCAGGACCGGATGAGCTTCCTCCCACTCTTTTCAAGATGTGTGTGTGTGTGTGTGTGTGGTAACCTCGTAAGCTCCAGTACTACCCTACTACCCTACGCAAGAACACATTCTTTCGTCTTGGAGCAAGTCGCTGATTGTTCCCATTTTCAAGAAAGGATCTCGCAACGATTGCGAAAACCACCGCGGGATCAGTTTGATTCCGATCGTCACCAGAGTGTAGCTTCGTTTATACTTCGACGTCTGACGCCTTCAGGAGAGACCGACATCCGTGAACAGCAAGCTGGATTCCGGCCTGGCCGTGGATGTATTGATCAAATTTTTACGTTGCTTTAGGTCCTTGAGCTGCGTCACACCCACCGTCGACCAACAACCGCAATTCTCCTTGACCTGAAAGGAGCCTTCGATTCAGTTGACCGCGAAGCTCTACTGGGCTCCCTTCTTCGAAAAGGAATGCCCCAGAAGTACGTTAACCTAATGAGGTATGCACTCACAGACCTCCGGTTATGTACTGGTTTACAACAATCTAAATAGGCCGTTCGTCACCAGCAGCGGCGTCCGTTAAGGATGCTCAATTTCGTCGTAGACGAAATACTGGAGAGCGCACTAAGTGGACTCCAAAGCATAGGTATTGAATGGGCAGCTGGAGAAAAACTGTACGATTTAGAGTACGCCGATGACCTCTGTCTATTCTCTATGGAGGACGCGCAAAGCACACTTGATAGGCTAACAAGTGCAGTTGACACATTCGGTATGTGCTTTGCATTTTCAAAGTGCTAAGTGCTGCTGCACGACTGGGTTTCGTCTACTCCTGCTCCGAAACTAAATGGCCAGTTATGGTGGATTGCTTTTCCTACTCAGGTAGTTGCGTGACCAATGACGGTAGTGCAGCAAAGGAGATAACTGCCTGCGTTTCCAAGGCTCAAGCAGCAGATGCAGGACTGAAACACCTTTGGCGTAGACGCGATGTTTCACTGAAGCTGAAAGGTCTTATATATTGTGCTGGTGTTCGTTCAGTCCTGCTGTATGGTTGTGAGACCCTGAATTAGCGAGTGGAAGATATCCGTCGACTAGAAGTTTTCGATTACCGGTGTTTACGTAGTTTAGCCCACGTTGGATGGAGCGAACGGGTTAGTAACGTGGAGGTAAGCCGTCGTGTGTTTGGGAGTCTATCAGGTATAAATCTGCTGGCACACTGAATTCAGATTAGTAGACTTCGCTGGCTAGAGCACTTATTGCGTATGCCCAGCTGTCGTCTGCCGCACCGCACTTTGTTCGCTGTAGCTAATCCGGGCTGGAGAAAACCACGTGGAGGTCAACAGACCTTCCCCCTCCCTCAAAATAGGTCTAATCCCTGTCCACCTTAAACTTTACCACCAATCTTGTATGCATTACGAGTTTGGCAACGATCAGTGAAGTTCACTTCACCGTATTTCGCTGTAGGATGATGATGATGATGAAAACACGTGTGATAGCCATTTTACGAACTGAAGAGGTGCGTAGCTCCAAGGTGCACAGACAGAGAATTCGGTCATAATTTTTTCAATGTTTAATCTGAGAACGCTCGAAAGTGGTAGGGAGCACTCAGACCGCCAGCCTTTATTCAATGTGATCCAGTTTTTAAAATTATAAATTCTTCTTGAAACGACAGGCAGTTTATTAGTCTTTTCCAGTTTACTTCCATCCATTGATAAGTATCTCAATTGTTTCAGTAAACGGTCTGTGACCATGCAGTTGATCTTACAACACCCGTGCAACTTCAACTTATCCTTCCCATAGCTTTATTTGCGGAATTAACTCGTCTTATGAATCACTGTTTGGCTGTCGGATCGCACATTCTGGACGTGGGGGCTATCACGCCAATCTTTTGGTTATTTGAGGAACGAGAGAAAATGTTTGAATTCTATGAACGCGTTTCTGGTGCTCGAATGCACGCGGCCTATTTCCGTCCTGGAGGAGTGTACCTCGATTTACCGTTAGGTTTGATGGATGATATGTACCAATTTTTGGAGAAGTTTGTGCAGCGCATCGATGAGGTGAGTGATATTGTGTTTGGGAGAAGTTAAATTAATTTGTTAATTTTCCCTGTTGCTCCATATATTTTTGCACTTTTCGGTAAATAATTTAATCTATTGCCATATGTATTTCACACGCGTTTGAGTTCAGTGCCAAACTAAGGTTTACTAATATCTATAAAAAGAAAAAATTCCATGATTTGCTTGTGGGCGGAATACTGCCAGATTGCCCAAACCATGGCAGGCGAATTTTGTTGGGGAGTTCACAACCCAGGCCTTCGGTTAGTCAAGGCCTGACTCGCAAAGCAACGGGGTGGTTTGGGAAAACCACAATCCACTGGGGACCAGTGTCCATTCCCTTGGATCACACCTCTTTTGGACGGAGTCAGACGTCCAAGGTGCTCACGCCCCCTCGGTGCCCATTGAGCCGGTGACCACTGCCACAACCAGGCAGGTGTAGGTGTGGTTCATACGCCTCCTCTTGGTTAGTTTGGAATCAGGGATTTTAGCCAACTCCCCTAGGTGAACTGCCAGTGGCTCACCAACCTGATTATAGCCCCGACCGCTGACTTTTCGTTCCCTCACTTTGGTGAAATAATACCACATGGAGACAGTAAATAGGGCTTCCTCAGCCGAAGCTATTTGAGACGCTTGGTCTTATAGGAGCACTTCGCGAGGTGCAAGCGAAGAGTGACCAGCCGCAAACCGAGACATTCATCCCCAATCCTACTGAGGCTTTCGGAGGCAATATGGGTACCATATGGGTACATTTTAAAAGTTAATTAGATCTTTCGTTCTCACTTTTCCCCAGAATATTGCTTTCTGATGTGATTAACCTGAATGCTAACCTGAACGTGTACTACCTTGTTTATGGTTGTTGTTATTTGTTTCATGATTGACTAACATCAAATATAATTCTAACTTCGTGTCCGGCCAGTCTTGCTATATGAGGCTGAGACATAACCGCAACGCGAGAAGGTTGGACAGTCTGTCGGAGCACCGCGGTCCACACTGCGTTGAATAAGTTTGATNACGGAGAAGCAATGCAGAGTTTTGGGTAATCGCGTTCACCCACTAACGCCAGTGCCTGGTTTTCATAGATTGTGATGACTGGGCTATGTTACCGGATAGGCTTTCTTTGCGCGTGGTGTTTGTCCGGCCAGGTAGTGAGTAGAAGCAGACCAGGGGCGGTAAAACCATGGCTTGGCATAAAGGTGTTCTAGTTGAGTGTCATTCGTGCGTTTGTTGATCTTCTGCACACGTTTAGTTTATTTGCATTCTATATATTTATGTGTACACTGCTCACTGCTTTCCACTTCTTTCAGTTGCTCGTTGGTCGATCAAGTAGGTAGTTGCAAGACAGCAATGGTAGTAAAAGATTAACTGCAGTCCAGCTGAACATTTTTCATGAAATTAATCACTAGGCTTCCGAACATCAAGGGTAGGCGGGTCGTGCAAGACTTTCTTATTTAATCCGTCCAAAATCATCAGTGCATTGTGATCCTAATCGATTTTTTAATTACCCCTCTGTTTTGATGCCCAATTTCATTTGTCAATCTACTGTAATTGGAATAATTAGTATTGAAAACTGTGAAAGAATATAAACTGTCACGCCTCCACTACCTAAATGTATACCTTGTAGCTAGCGTGGCCTTATGTGGCTCGCCACCCCAAGCTCCGGGGCTAAGGTTGCCGGTTACCATCACTGAACAGCAGATCTTCGTGACAATGGAATGTGCCCCGACTGCTGTTCGTCACACACTGGTGTGTAATTCAAAATAGTTGCTATCCGATACACAGACAATTACCTTTTAGCAACGGTCAACACATTGACCTTATGTGATGCATTTTATTTTTTATTACGTTTATATCAACACTTTACCAATAACTGCACAGTACTATAAGCCGTGTGTTTGAGAATGTTCCAGTGGAAAATTCATTATCTCATCGAATTCGAATTAGTGAACTTCGGTGGTGAGGACACATTTTGAACATGCCTAACAATCGCCTACCTCACCGGGTCTTGTGTTCACTTGCTGATTAGTGTTGTAGAAAATCGTGTGGGTAGCGTAGAGATAAAGTATAAAGAAATCCACGGGTAAATTAGACAGTGTCTCTCATCTTCCATGCTGGAATCCAAAGGGCTCTATAAGTGATTGTTTATAAACACTGAAGGAGATGACCACGGACCGACAGCATTGTTATTTTCTATTTGGTCGCGATATTTGAAAAGGCTCGTGTGCACAGTTAGACTGTGTACTGTTTGTGTTGGCCACAAAGGCTTACTTTCTTTTCCCTGAAAATTGGCTCATTCCCCATTCACTCTACACATTCCAGTCTACCTTGGGTAAATGATCAATTTCACCCGGTACAGAGCAAGTAAATCGTGAAATAAAAAACGGCGGGGCACCATACAGTTATTTCAACCCGATTGGGTTTGATCTGGAGTGCGAATTCCGCAACCAAACTGGAGATCGAACCCGGGACCTCACAGATATAATGCAAGCACACTTCCAGACCGTTTTTCATTTTGTATACGCAAAGATAGATCAGCTTC